ACCAAATCCATAGTGCTTGTTGTAAACAAACCTTCTTTCTGCACTCCACACTGCTGTTAACAAAGAAAGTAGACGGATTTTAACCATCTAAAACCGCTACGAAGCGCTGCCTTAAAAATCATTGGCAAGCGATATCATAGGCCTTATTTAAATAACTCAAATCTATGATAGTATCAGGGACCTATATAGTATTAGTATATAGGTCCCTGATTAAAACTTGCATATTTGCCATTCACCCATTGGTATGGTAAATCATTGATTCCACTACGACACAAGATGTTTTTTACCTTTATTTATGTTTTCAAGTTTACACGGAATGATAGCGTTTAACTCGCCTCTCCATACTCCATAAATCACTGTATATTTATGTGTTTATGCGTCAGGATCGCAATGTTAACACTATTGGAACATTCTCGGGTTCATTGTGACATTTGTAAACTATATACTCAGTCAATACAGTCACTCATGTTATTTAAATATTTCCCATGTTTTTCATTGTTTTATTCTTCAATTTAGATATGCAACGTTTTGTTATCTCTGTTATTTAGATCACTGGATCCACCTAACATTCTTCTCCGCAAGCATGGATGCTATTTATTTTTAGAATGCGCAATTGCTATGCGCGACAAAGCAGTGAGATTTTCCACTGTCATGGCGGCGGTGGTTACCTGTCCTTGTAATTCCTAGCGGCAGCGACTGGAATCAAGGGCAGAGAACCAGTGCTACATGTTGCACATCATTTTTTTCAGCAAGCACTCTGCTACACTGCAAATGTGTCCCATAATTATTCTAATCATTTTTCTACATAAAATATCACATCAAACAGGGGATATCTCAATTTTTTAAGAAATTTGACCGGATCTTTAGTACGAAACTATCCCCTGCCACCGCAACTCAACATTGGCTCGAGATAACTCATACTCGGGTTTATTCGGGATTAATGTGATCGAAGCTCTTCACTTTTAGGTTAACAACCGAGTTAACTGAAGGCTCATTAGAAACTGCAAGAATCAACATTAGACAAATTAATAATATGTTTTTGTACATGTAAATGGATAGAAAAAAAATTGAAGTTGGAAATTGACTTTTAAAATACTCCTTTTTATTTGTATTTTATACAAAATATTCCTTATCATTAAATCCACAACTTTTTTCTTATTGTGGCTCTGCCTGATTGTTTTACCTGACAGTGACAGACTGACTATTATCTGACAGTGACAGACTGACTATTATCCAACAGTGATAGATTGACTATTATCCGACAGTGAGAGACTGACTCTCTATGTGACAGATAAAGACTGACTTCTTACCCAACAGTGACAACCCTGGTTGTTTTACGTGAGAACTGATCCCTGACTGGTAATTTACCTGACAGCGACAGGCTTGGATCTTAATTTCTCTACGCTGACCTCCAGCTGACTGGCATCTGGGATTTTGGCCCCCATCCCCAGAAAGTCCAGTAGTACAACCAAGTTCTGCAGGTCAACAACAGTTGAAGTCTACATCATTCTATAAAACGGTTTGTTTGTAACAAAATCCGAAGAATGCCATTTATATGACGTTTCCATGTATTTTCAATTAATACTCATTAAATAGTGTTACTAGTATCATAATTCTACTTTAATATTTAATTCAAAACAAACTATAAGTAATTGCCTTTTAGCAAGAATTAAAACTAAAAATACCTACATTCTTATACTAACAAGTTTAGGATTTTACGAATATTTTTTTTAGTTTCCAGTTTAAAAAGTATATAGTCTTCTTTCTCCTAAACCAGGAACTGAACAAAATCAAACCTGAGGACTACCCAGGTACTCATAAACCTAGTAATATACCTTGTGCATGTACAACACTTTATAACATTTAATTGCTGTTACCATGTTGTAATTAGCTGAATATTCTGGTGAGTTTTTGTCAATAAGCTTGCAATCTTTTCATCTTAGGTGATGCCCCCATATCTGTAAAGTTGTTGTATGCTGTATTCCCTTCAGAAGATGGAAGGAGAATTAAGCCTTCCTCCCGCTTGGTGAAGAACATGGACTCCTGGGGAGTTCTGTACATAAAGTCGTGGACAGGTAACTCCTGCACATGAGTGAGAGCCAAGTCTGATCCAACACTGAAGACGTGCTGATGTCTGATGTCCTCCGAAGACACGTCCAGAATATGAAAAGCTTCTAACATTTACCCTTGAAAGTAGTCTTCTCTGGAACTGCTGTTCCAGATGATTGTTGTTTGGAAAAGAAAAATTCAAATCCATTCATGCAAAAAGTCTTAACCATTACATGTAGGAAGACTAACCACATTTTATAACATTTGACTCTATTAATTGTTTTAAACTTCTTCATAACAGAATTAAAATATCCCATCAAATCTCATAAAACTCTGTCTCTCAAAGAGATTATTTTTACATATGTAATCAAATTCAAGATCATGTCAAAAATTTAAATCAACTGACAAGTTATACACTTCTAGTGCTGCCTTAACAGACTCATCAGAAACATAATTTCAACTCAGTCTGCTTTCTTGTAACAACCATTACTATTTCTTCAATACTGGGGATCGAGATAGTTGACCAATTCCCTATAAATATTGAATTCATGCAATTTTATATAATGAATATGCTCATAATTTTCACGTTTGTATAAAAATCAGGCAACCATTGAGGCAAGCGATCCTGGAATAAAGAAGAAGTCTGTGAGCCAATGCTCACTAGTAACACCCCTGCTCTGATGTGAATATACACTCTCATGAATTCCACCATATGGCATGCTTATAGATAAAGAGTGTGCAAAAATTCCACCCACCTGCAATGAGTAATTGCCAAGAAAACTGCAACAAAAAATTTGGTATGACGGACAGATGCACAGAACAAGAGGCCCAGGGACCACAAAACTCACCTGAGTAATTTTGGCCCTGCTGTTCTTCACCAGACTTTCCCCCATGTAATACCTATTGTGGCCCCATCCTATCCCTAAGAGTCATAATTTTAACAATTTGTAATCTACACTACTCCAGGATGCTTCCACATGAATTTCAGTATTTCTGGCCCAGTGGTTCTTGAAAAGGAGACCTTTAAAGATTTTTTGTATATATTTCAATGTAAAAATTAGATTCCCTATCGTGGCCCCACCCTACCCCCGGGTTTCATGATTTTAACAATTTAGAATCTACACTACCCCAGGATGCTTCCACATAAGTTTCAGCTTTTCTGGCCCAGTGCATCATCGCAAACCACGATCAAAATGTACGATCTTCTCCCATACTAGCTGTGGTTGAATGAAAAGAGAATATTTCGCAGCTTATTAAAAAATTGACTAATGCGAGTAAACCATAGTCGGATAATGGACTTTGACGCGACCTTTCAATACCCAATCGCATTATATGAAACATTTCTTGTATACTGTTGATGTAAGTTGCGATGGAAACAAATATTGTCATTGGCTGAACATGACATCACAACATATAGGCATAAATATTCAAGATTACAACACCTTTTGTGATCAAGCAGCCACGGGTAGGAGAGAGCTATATGCGGACTCCGGATCGTGGCTCGAGACAATGGACCCAGTGGTTCTTGAGAAGAAGATTTTGAAAGATTGTTTTCTAAATATTTCAATGTAAAATATTGACTCCCTATTGTGCCCCCCCCCCCCCCTACCCGCGGGGGTCATGATTTTAACAATTTAGAATCTACACAACCCCAGAATGCTTCCATGTAAGTTTCAGCTTTCTGGCCCAGTAGATTTTTTCTATGTATTTCAATGTCAAACTTGGATTCCCTATTGTGGCCCCACCCTACCCCCAGGTGTTATGATTTTTTCAATTTAGAATCTACACTACCCAAGGATGCTTCCACATAAGTTTCAGCTTTTCTGGCCCAGTGGTTCTTAAGAAGATTTTTAAATGACCCCACCCTATTTTTGCCTTTTCTTGATTATCTCCCCTTGTAAGGGGGCTTGACCCTTCATTTTAACAATTTAGCTTCCCGTTCACCCAAGGATGCTTTGTATCAACTTTGGTTAAAATTGGTCAAGTGGTTCTTGAGAAGTTGAAAATGTTAAAAGTTTACAGATGGACTGACAGACAGATGGACAGACAACGGGTGATCAGAAAAGCTCCCTTTAGCTTTCAGCTCAGGTGAGCTAAAATCAGGAAGTTGACATCAGATTTGTACAAAAACAAGCATTCTGAGAATATTGCATTAGCAATACTAGTCCCCTACTGGCAAGTGTAACCTGGTTCCCATTAAAAATTGAAAATGCCATAATTCCGTCAAAAATCAATGAAGCGGAACAAAATGCAAACTTGATCTATAACTCATCAAGGTAAAGTCACAAACCAAAAATCCGCTCAATATCTGCAAGTGTTTATAAAAAATTTGCGGAAAACCCTGAAAAATTGAAAAAGTCATAATTCCGTCAAAAATCATTGAAGCGAAACGAAATGCAAACTTGATCTGTAACTCATCAAGATACACTCGCATACCAAAAATCAGCTCAATATCTGCAAGCATTTAGAAAAAAAGTGCGGAAAACCAAGTGGGACAGACTGACAGAGGGACAGACAGACGAACGGACAGACAGACTCAGAGGAAACGTATAGTGCCCTCCGGTTTCACTGGTAGGGGACTAATAAATCCCACGATATGGCATGCCTAGATAAAGAGTATGCTATAATTTCAAGCATCTGCGATGAGTTGTTGCTGAGAAAACTGCGGCGAAATTTGTTACGGACAGATGAAGAGATAAACAGGAAGTTGATATGGGATTTCTACAAAAATGAACACCATATGACATACCTAGACAAAGAGTGTCCTAAAATTTCAAGCATCTGCAATGAGTAACTGCGATGAAAATTTGTCAAGGACAGCTAAACAGACACACACACAAGGGTGAAACAGAATACCCATCTCTCCTTCAGAGCGGGAGTATAATAACTGTATTCTTGAGAAAAAATGATACTATAGTCTTTAAAAATTATACACTGAATGAAATCAAATATTATGAATATTATATGTTTTAATAATCAACAAATAGCACAATAACAAACAAAAATTCTAAGCTTGCATGTAGATCCATGTCCATATTAAAAAGAAAGAGTTTTCAATAAAATTATGATCATACACAAAAGTAATCACATGTACACAGGAATACATTCATAACACATACACATCATCAAAATTGATTCACAAGATTGCAGTTTATCAGCTGTTGAATATTTCATTCACTGGCAGATAATTGTAACAATTAATCATTATAAACAATCTCTTAAACTTGCAATTCATACTTTATCACATAACTTTACTTAATATATAATCGAAGTACATTATTCTTGTATAAGTTCATTATTCAGAGTTTTTCAAAGCTTCTATGCTTTCATCATCAATAGTTATAAAAGTAAATCACACATGAAATGTTTGTTCACAATAGCTTTATTTATCCACTATGTCTCTTCAGCCTCTGTAGACGTCAGTGTGTGCTGTTGTTCTTCAAACAGGTTACGGGCATAGTTGATCTGTTGACTCACCTTATAAGAAATAGGATAACAAAGTTAAGAATATTGGCACACCTCAAGTCTTCATAGTGTAAACATGTACTTCCAATACATAAACTATTTGCCAAGATGTACTTTAATGTCCCAGTCAATGTTCCACAGTTTACATCAACTCAACTGTTTAGTGTTTACGAAGACTCTTTTCATTAAATAGGGCTCTATAAAGACAAACAGATCTGCAATGTTCACTTTAATTCCCCGGAGCATGTATATTTTTAATATGATTCTCAAACAAAGCAAAATAGTAAAATGATTAGACACAGTACTTGTACATATATAGTATATTAATGGGTCCCTCTCACAACAAGGATTTATTTGACACTAAATAATTACCCTTTCAGCTACTGTTTGTTTGTCACATCTGATCTGGGGGACCCTCTGCTGATCAGAAGCTGATGTTGGTAACCTCACCAACTCCAGGTAATATCTACCTTCTGTAAATCATCATAAATTATGGGTAATATCTACCTTCTGTAAATCAATATACAGTCATGTAATTATTTACAAATGATTTTCTCCTGACCCATGAGATGATATGACCTGTCCAAAGCCAACAAATGAAGCATTATAATTATTATCCATGTACTTCTTCCAGGTTTCACTCATACAAAATGGAAGCAAGTTATGACTGTACATAGCTGAGCATGGCCTTGTCTGTAACATTCAGTATTTCCATTTCTTTTTCTTAATACTTCTTACTTTTCTTACTTCTTAGCTTAACAGTTAAGGTGAAATGGAAACACACTGTTGAGCACACATCATCAAACTGTATAATCTGCATTTATTAGCTCACCTGAGCCGAAGGCTCAAGTGAGCTTTTCTGATCACATTTTGTCCGTCGTCCGTCCGTCCGTCCGTCTGTCTGTCCGTCTGTCTGTCCATCCGTCTGTAAACTTTTCACATTTTTGACTTCTTCTCAAGAACCACTGGGCCAATTTTGACCAAACTTGGTTCAAAGCATCCTTGGGTGAAGGGGAATTTAAATTCTCAAAATGAAGGGCCAAGTCCCCTCACAAGGGGAGATAATCAAGAGAAGACAAAAATAGGGTGGGGTCATTAAAAAATCTTCTTCTCAAGAACCACTGGTCCAAAAAAGCTGAAACTTATGTGGAAGCATCTTGGGATAGTGTAGATTCTAAATTGTTAAAATCATGACCCCCGGGGGTAGGGCGGGGCCACAATAGGGAATCCAAGTTTTACATTGAAATATATAGGAAAAATCTTTAAAAATCTTCTTCTCAAGAACCACTGGGCCAGAAAAGCTGAAACTTATGTGGAAGCTTTCTGGGGTAGTGTAGATTCTAAATTGTTAAAATCATGACCCCCGGGGGTAGGGCGGGGCCACAATAGGGAATCCAAGTTTTACATTGAAATATATAGGAAAAATCTTTAAAAATCTTCTTCTCAAGAACCACTGGAACAGAAAAGCTGAAACTTTATGTGGAAGCTTTCTGGGGTAGTGTAGATTCTAAATTGTCAAAATCATGACCCCCGGGGGTAGGGCGGGGCCACAATAGGGAATCCAAGTTTTACATTGTAATATATAGGAAAAATCTTTAAAAATCTTCTTCTCAAGAACCACTGGGCCAGAAAAGCTGAAACTTTATGTGGAAGCATCCTGGGGTAGTGTAGATTCTAAATTGTTAAAATCATGACCCCCGGGGGTAGGGCAGGGCCACAATAGGGAATCCAAAGTTTACATTGTAATTTTTAGGAAAAATCTTTAAAAATCTTCTCAAGAACCACTGGGCCAGAAAAGCTGAAAATTATGTGGAAGCATCCTGGGGTAGTGTAGATTCTAAATTGTTAAAATCATGACCCCCGGGGGTGGGGCGGGGCCACAATAGGGAATCCAAGTTTTACATTGAAATATATAGGAAAAATCTTTAAAAATCTTCTTCTCAAGAACCACTGGGCCGGAAAAGCTGAAAATTATGTGGAAGCATCCTCGGGTAGTGTAGAATCTACATTGTTAAAATCATGACCCCCGGGGGTAGGGCGGGGCCACAATAGGGAATCCAAGTTTTACATTGATATATATAGGAAAAATCTTTTAAAAATCTTCTTCTCAAGAACCACTGGGCCAGAAAAGCTGAAAATTATGTGGAAGCATCCTGGGGTAGTGTAGATTCTAAATTGTTAAAATCATGACCCCCGGGGATAGGGCGGGGCCACAATAGGGAATCCAAGTTTTACATTGTAATATATAGGAAAATTCTTTAAAAATCTTCTTCTCAAGAACCACTGGGCCAGGAAAGCTGAAACTTATGTGGAAGCATCTTGGGGTAGTGTAGATTCTAAATGTTAAAATCATGACTCCCGGGGGTAGGGCGGGGCCACAATAGGGAATCCAAGTTTAACATTGAAATATATAGGAAAAATCTTTAAAAATCTTCTTCTCAAGAACTACTGGGCCAGAAAAAGCTGAACCTTATGTGGAAGCATCCTTGGGTAGTGTAGATTCTAATTGTTCAAATCAGGACCCCCTGGGGTAGGGCGGGGCCACAATAGGAATTTAAGGGGAAATTTGGTAAAGAACAGCATGGCCAAAGTTACTCAGGTGAGCGATATGGCCCATGGGCCTCTTGTTTTTTTGCATTAATCTTTAAAATTGAAAGAATCTTAAAGTACCAGAAGCATCAGTCTGTGGATATATGACATTTGAATATATTTCATCCAAGATCTACTTTTACAGACAGAATTTTTCAAACATAGCTGCAGTAATGTTAAAATAGAATAACTGGAATAGACCATGTCACTTACTGATTTCTACCATCACACACTGGAACAGCTCTTTGTGGGGGACCTTTAGAATGATGTTCCCAGAGTCAGCCTCACCCCCTAGTAAGAAGTACACCTGTTTAGAGGTGATCAGGGACATCAGTCTGTCTTCTCTCCTCAGCTGTTCTACAGCTATGAAGCTACAAACATGACACAAACTAAAATATTAATTACTTTCTTAGTTTACAAAGATTAATATTTTAACACCACTTTGCCTCAATTTTTAATTTTTTCTTCCCAATGGAACCAATTTTAAAAAATTGTTCAAAAAGATTATATCCATATGTACACACAAGAAATGGAATACAAATTTTCCTAAAAGTAATAATACATGTACTGACTCATTATGATTGAACTTTAGAAGCCAAAATTTGTTTTAATGAGTATAATTTCCATGCTAATTAAAAACTTACAATTCATCCAGGTTCTTCTTGTTGAGATCATGCAGTAGTTTCTGTGACTTGGCATCATTTTGAGAGTAAGGAGGCAGCAACATCCCCGCCCCGTGACAGCACCGTGGGAGTCTGATGGGAGGGGGACTGATACGAGAGCTGCTACTGCTGGTGTCCCTGATAGCGTTAGCTGCTCCCGAGGCTAGGTCTAGTACTCCAACTACAGGCTTAGTGACTGTACCAATCACTCCCTTCCCAATCCCTGTCACAAATCCCTGACAATATGAAAACAAAATTTAACTTACAATTTTTTCATTTCTGTATAAAACCATAAATATTTTAACATATCAAAATTTTCATTGAATATCCTTAAAAGTCTTGTTTGGAATTATGTTTTGTTTTCAATGATCAAAATTACTAAATTTTGTCAGTTTTTAAAACTAATCTTTAATTTTCAAATAATTTTTCTTATCGATAAAAAATTTCTGGTATGAATCACCTCGATACCATCTTCCTTGAAACCATCATAAGGCTGGGTAAATATACTGGTCACAGCACCAAACAGTCCATTACCAAAACCTTTGACCCCGGCCAGTATATGCCCCCCGCTGGACTGGGCACCGGTCCTCAACTGCTCCCTTCTGTCCTGGTAGTTTTTGTCCATGTTCAGTGTCCCAAGACCATCAGATAGCGATCCAACAACCTATTTAAACCCAAACACCAGAAAACAATAGACATGCAATTTCAATTGGGGGGGGGGGGGGAGGGGGGATTAACAAAAACTAAATGGCTAAATCTGATTTAATTATGCTATTTGCTGACAGCTTACTGAAAAATTAAGACCTTTGAAATAACAAAAGTATGGTCTGTGTACATGTATGTTTAGAAATTCAATGTCATATTTTTTGTTTAGTAAATACATTCTTAAGAACATCCTTCAAATATCTGTAACCTAAGAACTTTTATACAATCATCTTAAACTATAAATCAGTTCCTAGTTAGGCACATCAAATTGCAGAATACTTTCAAAATAATGATCTAATTACCTTGGCAGCAGAGTTAGACACCCCATGTGTGACGTTTTTCAGCAGACCCCCCACATTGCCATCATTGATCAGACCAGAAATTCCCTCTGTGACATCATTAAACAGACCCAGGGGATTTCCCAGAAAGTCCACAGAACCCAGGATCTTGGCTGCCTGACTCTTCAACTCCTGTCAAACAAAGCAATTCATACAATGAACATGATTATACAGAGAAACTGTACAAGTGAACAGATAGGGTTTTGTTTGAAAACCTTTGATACATTATAGACTGAGTAAGAACAAAATAAATATGTAATTTTATTATATACCCAAGTGTGTATCACTCAATTTTACTGTAGATTTCGTACAATCACTGACGGTGTGATCCGACATTTCGGATCACCACACTGTGGTTTTCTGAATCCATATCACCCCTCTCTGAAACTGATGACGTAGTACACAGAAACATGACGTTATTTTTCATGCGCATCAAAAAGTTCCTTGAAAAATGCTTTGTTTAATGGAAAAATCTTATATAATTGATCTCAAAAGTTTTTTTAAAACTATATTTTGCTAGTTGTAAGGGAGGGTATATAATAAATTTATCATTATAACAGTAACTTGATCCGAAGAGCCGTATCACGTCTCGTTGACAGGCGCGGATCATCAGATCAAACTCGACGCTTCGCGTCTCGTTTGATCTGATGATCCGCGCCTGTCAACTCGACGTGATACGACTCTTCGGATCAAGTTACTGTTATAATAATGTATATGTATGAGTTGACATAAGTGTGTATACCTCAGTGTAGTGGAATCCTATCTCTTTCTGAAGGAAGACAATGGTTTCAAATAGGTGACTTTTGATGAAAGGATCTGTCAGTAGATTGACAATTAAATACAGTGACATGTAAATACTTAGAAAAGTAGAATATTTATCATCATGTTCATACATTTAAAGGTGATCTTGAATTAACAAATACATGTAACTGCTAAACAGTGATAAACATGTACATATGAGATGCAGTTTTAATCTGAACATCTTTTACTAATCCATACATTACCTAAATCCACTTTAGCATCTTCAAATCTGACAAGTGGTAGAGACATGTCCCTCTTCAGAGCCTTCAGGTCAGGTGACAGTTTGGAGGCAGTGAGCATGCTCAGATTGATACGACTGGTGTGGATTTTCAGAAGTCCAAAGTAATATCTCTTTGTCTTCACTGAAGTGGCAGCTGCAAGTGCTCTATAAAAAGTTGGTGCATGTTTTAAATTACAAGTATGCCTATAATGTCAGGGATACGTGTATCGATCTGTACATAATAATGAATGCTTTTACTAGAAAATCAAAGTCACTCACTGTAATACATGTATCCCATAAATTATAAACAAAAAAGTGTTTCATTAAATGTAAACAAAATGTAAATAAATTCCATTCTATTCTGTAACAGACATTAATGCTAGTTATTTCAAAGTCCACCACTTACTTTCTTGGATCCTCCCCCTCTGTGACTTTCTCATCCATGTGGTCCGCTGACCCAAATCCACAAAACTGTAACAGCTTCCATAACAATTCCTCCTCTATCTGAATGCTCAGTTTCTTCATGCTTACAATTAAGTGCTAAAAAAGTACAATTTCCAAATTAACATGTATTGTACACTGAATATTTATCATTTACATGTAATCATGCTCTAGATCTATGTCTACTCAAGTTGAAAATTACAAACTGCAACATTGAAAAAATATAAAACTAGAATTTACTTTATAAATTTCAGCATTCCATTTTGAGTTGGGAATTTTCTGGGCCACAACATGGAGTGCTGGAGTATTCTCTGGGATGTCTCTTCTAGGGGTAGGTGTGACATACAACAGGACAGGTCTGGTGGCTGTGAACAGCTGATTATCAACCTGTAGAAAACAAATTCAGACAAAAAAATTAAAATAATCCATTCTCATTATTAGTTAAACTTCTTACTTCAAATCATAAAATGGAAAAACTCTCAATGTTCAGTTTTTGGGACTACCTTTTGTAAATACCAATTTAAAATGGATGGAGCATTCTCAATTTTAATTCCCTTTTCTTAGTTTAATTGCTAGCGCTCTCGAGCGCTAGCAACTACGTTAGTCTATATTTCTGGAATACGCATACTCGACTTCACGGTCAGGCATTCCGGGAAAACTACTGAAGATAGACTGTACGATGATAATTTCGTTTTATCATAAAAAATTGATATGGTCCGAATTCTGAATTTCTTAATTTATTGTCTAACCTATGATTAAAAGTACAAGAAAATTTGGGTCATATAATGCCAACATCAACTGGTAAAACCTAGCTTTCCTTAAAGCTAACCATGTATACTACCTTCCTAGATAATTCCGGCAAGCTCAGAAACAAACCCAGGAAATCTTTCAGAGTATTCGGAAAGACACGAGAAACGATTGATACAATGCAGTAGCACTGATATAATTATAATTCTTTAATTTCTCATTTTTCCTTTTTTGACGGAAACGCCCGAGTAATGATCCGATTGTTATTGCTGGCGCTCTCAAGCTAGCAATAACTCGAGATGTATGCTCGACTTCATGGTAGGGCACTCTGGGAATACTACTTGTAGATAAATTGTCAATTTCGTTTTTTAATCTGAAAATACATATGATCTGAAGTTTCGCGATTTGTTGTCTAACCTTAAATAAACGTTCAAAAGGTAACAGTAAATGCCAAAATTGTACAGATCAGTTCTAATTTCTAAAATTATAATTTAAAAAAAAAATAGCTATTTTTAACTATCTTCCTGGATCTTTCTGGCAAGCTCGGAATAACAACCTCGGATATGTTTTCCGAGCTTGCCGGGAAAGGCCCGAAAGGACTCTGATGCGATTGCTACAAAACAGTACCACACTGGACTGTTTTTAAACTAGCTGTTCATTGGTTCTACTTATCTCTTATTTTTCACTTCAAAATTGAAATTACAGTAAACTACAGAATGCTTAAAGCACAGTATCCCGAATTTAATCCAACAATAGCCTTTTTATAAATAGTCTGATGAATATTCTGTATTAAACACTGAATAGCTGATACATTCACCATTCTGAATTAAGACACACACCCCAACACTACCTCCAGTGTACCACTGTGTCTTCCTTTTAATAATTAGGGACGACCATTTGATTCTGAAGGGGGGGGGGGGGACTGAAAGATTTTGGAAATAAATATTCTGTCCTCAAAAAAGTTAGAAATAAATAACTGTCTTTCCACGACCGGCAAGAAAATAAATAATCTGTCATTGACTATTACTACTTAACACCCCCCCCCTTCCCGGTCCCTCTTTGAACTTTTTTTTGTTTGTTTTTGTCAAACTTTTTCAATTAAGAAGAAAATAAATAATCTGTCCTTGATCATCTTGAAAATAAATAATCTGTCCTTGACTGGCATGAAAATAAATAATCTGACTCGAAAGATTTTGCCAGACCCCCCCCCCCCCCTTCAGAATTAAAATCGATTCAGCAAATAAATCCAATAATTCAGATATCTAATTCTGTGGTTTATGATAGCTACAGCGCTAGCTCACCTATCTTTTTAAAAGATAAGCTTGTACTCACTGTATATTACAGCTGTACTTGGCATTAAATTTTGTTTACAAAAATATTCATAAACCTCTGAACTTTTAGTTTGAAAGGTGTTGTGTCACACACTTCTATCACATGATTTAATTAATTAAAATTTGTTAATGATATACACGTACCTGTACATTGGCTACCGCTACATCTACCGTCAAGTAATTAGGGTTAGAGATGTAGTCCAGAGAGATGTTCTGTAGTGAGATATAGACCAGCTCCTCTGGGGTGTAATTCACAAGGGATAAACCCACACCCCCCTTCAGACTCATACAAATCTGTAACACACAGGCTCAATTAATAAAATTACAATTTTTTTCTCGCATCTGTTGTAGGTAGCATTTAACAGAATTAAACAAAATTCAACATTTGATATCAATAATAATTTTCTTTATTATAATGATAATAAATGCATATATACATGTATATTAACAATATGGCTATTAAACATTTCCTGAATCAAATTTAGTTATAATGACTGACCTCTAAACTTGATTTCTTCTCTGCTGATTTATTCTCTATTTCAGCCACCTTATCTTCTTCACAAACAACCCAGTCTTGGTAGTTCTTTGTTACTTCAGCAACAGACTAAAAAAAATCCAGGGTAGAGTTGTTAAAATCTCAATAATATACACTGATCATATTAAGAAAAGTGGAACCTTTCCACACAACAGTCAATTTATGCAATACTGTCTGGGATTTGTTTTGAGGTGGACAACAAACTTACTCCTTGTGAGACATCTGTAATTTGCAGCACTCTGATTGGTCCATCCATGACGGTCCTGACAGCAAGACAGCCTGACCCTGGGAGGAGCCTCCGTCTGTCAATCTTCATGTGGGCAGGGACACTCCTCCCTGAGGGGGGACCAGGCCCCACTACAGCTACAGCTGAGTCCCTCAGACACTCTACCCCTCCAAGTGTCTGTACACACATAGCACCATCAACACAACACAGTCTGCCATCCTGAAACATTAGCCTAAGGGTAAAACCTCCTGAGTGCAAACAAGTTATTTTCTTCAAGCAAATAAACATGCGCATTAATCTTAAAATTACAAAGTTACTTTCAAAAGACTATGTATAATTATTTCCATTAACATTTAGTTATCTTCTTCACTTATACAGTTAAGCCTTGTTATCTTGAATTCAATGAGACTAAGATATAACCAACAAAAAATTCACCTCAGTGAACTTCCATGTCTGTGTCGCTTTCCTCCTCTCGTCTCTTTTTCTGAGGGTGAGGGGGACAATCCTGCCTGGTCTGGGGGCGATGTCATCTATGTCCAGTACCATGCTCTTCCCCGAGGGGTAGGAGGACCTATTGTGGGGGTCTCTAGGAGATATTGACCCCTCATGCTCTAACATACCCCCACTGGTCATTCTCCATAACTGGTTACGATTACCAACCTCCTATCAAATAATAAATAACATCTCCTGTACAAATATATGGTCAAAAACACATGTTGGATGCACCGACAATTACTCCTACATTCAAGAAACTACAGGTATGTGTAAAAGAATAAGAACTAAAAATGTTCAGCTGAAACTCAAATAAACTGACAATCAATCAAACTTATGTATACAACCCTATTTTGTTCTTCATCATATTCATCTCATAAATCATTTTATTTTTAAACTGGAGCAATTTTTTTTTTGTGGAAAATATGTACTATACCTTTTTACAGAATTTGATGTACTGATCTTGAACAACTTCTAAAACAAGGTCTGTGTGAGGACTATCCTGTGTTGGACTTCTTAAAACAAAAACAATTTAATAATTACATATTAAAGATCTATCAATAATAAAATGAAGAATTGCATGACTTCATGTTGATAAAATTTAAAACATTTAAAACAATATCAACAAGATGTGTTTGTGAAACACTGATGCCCCATATGGCAGCTTATGGCGAAGGTTAAAGTTTCTCAATTGGAAGTCAAACTCCAGGTCAAGAGATCAAAAATGTTGGTACCTAAAGAAAGGTCTGTCTCGAGGAATATACCTGTGAAATTTGAAAGCCGTTGAACCAACTGTTCAAAAGTTATGGTGAAGGTCAAAGTTTTTTTTAGAAGTAAGTAAAACCTCAAGATCAAATGGAGCCCCAAAGGAAGGTCTTGTCACAAGTGATACATATGTTCATGAAATGTGAAAGTTCTAGAACCAAACGTTCACATGTGTTGACCAAGTTTAAAGTTTTTTAAAAGTAGGTCAAACTCCAAGGTCATGGTCAATGCCAAAATTCTTGGTATTCAAAGAAAAGACTTGTCACAGAAATAGACATGTTAAATATGAAAGCCCTGGCACCAAATGTTTTAAAGTTATGGCCAAGGTTAAAGTTTTTCAAAAGTAGGTCAAACTCCAAGGTCAAGGCCAAAGGGTCTAAGTTGTTGGTTTCCTAAACAAGAGGCCCATGGACCACAACACTCACCTGAATATCTTTGGCCTTGCTGTTTTTCACCTGATTCCCCCCCCCCCTTGTAGTACTTATTGTGGCCCCACCCTTCCCCCAGGGGTCATGATTTGAACAACTTAGAATCTACACTACCCCAGGATGCTTCCACATCAGTTTCAGCTTTTCTGGGTCAGTGGTTCTTGAGAAGAAGATTTTTAAAGATTTTTACTACATATTTCAATGTTAAACTTGGATTCCCTATTGTGGCCCCGTCCTACCCCTGGGGGTCATGGTTTGAACAATTTAGAATCTACACTACCCCAGAATACATCCACATAAGTTTCAGCCTTTCTGGCCCAGTGGTTCTTGAGAAGAAGATTTTTACAATATATTTCAATGTAAAACTTGGATTCCATATTGTGACCCCGCCCTACCCCCCGGGGTCATGATTTTAACAATTTAAAATCTACACTATCCAAGGATGCTTCCACGTAAGTTTCAGCCTTTCAGGCCCAGTGGTTCTTGAGAAGAAGATTTTTAAAGATTTTTACTACATATTTCAATGTAAAACTTGGATTCCATATTGTGACCCCGCCCTATCCCTGGGGGTCATGGTTTGAACAATTTAAAATCTACACTACCCAAGGATGCTTCCACATAAGTTTCAGCTTTTCTGGCCCAGTGATTCTTGAGAAGATTTTTTTAATGACCCCACCCAATTTTTTTTATTTTCTTGATTATATCCCCTTTGAAGGGGACTTGGTCCTTCATTTTAACAATTTAAACTCCCATTCACCCAAAGATGCTTTGTACCAAATTTGGTTAAAATTTGCCCAGTGGTTCTTGAGAAGAAGTTGAAAATGTGAAAAGTTTACAGACGGACGAACGACGGATAACGGGTGATCAGAAAAGCTCACTTGAGCTTTCAGCTCAGGTGAGAGAAAAAGTCTTGTCACATGGATTACATATGTGAAGTATGAAAGCCCTAGCACCAACCATTCAAATGTTATGGCCAAGGTTAAAGTTTTCAAAAGTAGATCGAACTCCAAGGTCAAAGTCAAAGGGTCAAAGTTGTTTATATCCAAAGGAAGGTCTTGTCACAAGGATTACATATGTGAAGTATGAAAGCCCTAGCACCAACTGTTCAAAAGTTATGGCCAAGGTTAAAGTTTTTCAAAAGTAGGTTATCTCCCAGGTCAAAGTCATAGTGTCAAAGTGGTTGGTATCCAAAGGAAGGTCTTGTCACAAGAAATAGACATGTTTGATATGAAAGCCATAGCACCAACCATTCAAAAGTTATGGCCAAGTTTTTCAATAGTATGTCAAACTCCTAGGTCAAGGTCAAAAGGTCAAAGTTGTTGGTATCAAAAGAAAGGTCCTGTCACAAAAAATACACATGTGAAGAATGTAAGCCCTTGTACCAATTGTTCAAAAGTTATGGCCAAGGTTAAAGTTTTTCAAAAGTAGGTCAAACTCCAAGGTCAAGGTCAAAGGGTCAAAGTTTTTTGGTATCTAAAGAAAGGTCTTGTAACAAGGAATACACTTGTGAAGTTTGAAAGCCCAAGCACCAACTTTTCAAATGTTATGTTCAAGGTTAAAGTCCAATAAAATTTTGCAAAAGTGGGTCTAACTCCAAGGTCAAAAGTCAAATATGATGGTACCTAAAGAAAGGTCTTGTCACAAGGAATAAACATGTGAAATATTAAAGTCAAAGATCCAACCAATCAAAAGTTATGGGCAAAGTTAAAGTTTTTGCAGACAAACAGACAGACAGACAGATGGATGGACGGACAGATATGGCAAAAACTATATACCCCCGAATCTTCGATAAGGGGGCATAAAAATTTCATTTTAATACAGAAAAATTGATTTTTAATTCTAGATTTAAACTGATAAAGCTTATAAACAAAACATACTTTGCAGAGGTAGCTGATGCTCTCAGGTAAATAAAGTTTGGATAACAGAGTTGCTTCCCTTCCTCCAATTTGTCCATATTGTAGGTGGCACTAGTTCCTCCCTTTACCCTCAGTGTTATTGAGTGGCTCAACATTGGTTCATCCCAGGCATAAGGTACTATCAATATTATTTTACATTAAAATTCAGCTTTATGAGATATCCTTAAGTATTGAAACAAACTTCATTAGTATAACTATTAATTAGTACAGAGAAAATTTGAAACCTACACTGTACATGAGGCTGAACGAAAGCTCTCAGCTTCTGTTCTGTTGTGTCACTTTGGAAATATTCCACAGGAATCTGAAACACAGATTGCTTGAATGAAACTTGAATGTAAAAGACCTACAATTCAGACTCTACAAGACAATGTACATGACTATTTTCTCTGAGATTTGAATATGATATAAAATGAAGTCTACTAACTTCAGCCAAGTTGTCTATTCTGATGGGAGGGGGGACTTCCCCAGCATCCCCAAACACTATGAAGTATGTGGGTCCCTCCATCACTATCTCCACCTTCAGGAGATGACTCACATTGTGATCATCCCTAAAAATAGAAACATTCTAATAAACACTTTCATTAACTCCATAATTAACACTTACATTAACTCCAGGTAATGTTTTTATTCATTGAAACTCATAAAGCTTGAATGTATAATAATTAATTGTGTCTTAAATTATGTCATTAAATTTCTTTGGATAAGGTACCCCTTACAGCCTTGTAAAATGGGTGATGTCTTAAATAGTTCGATACTTTGATAAACAAATTACATCCCTTATCTGTAAATTATTTCCACTCCGCAAAAATTTGCATTCACAAATGAAAGATGCACACATTTAATATACTGCACACTCAAGTACTATATACATTGTATGTACATTTTCAAACAATCTTATCAACTTGAATTCATTATTACCCATTCAAGACTACATTTGTGCAAGATAGTACATGTGTAGATAATGAATATATCACAATGAAGATCAATTTATACCTTATATTTATGTGGAAAGAATCTGTTTTATCAATTCTGAATCCACCTGACCAGGAGGAGGATCCAACATCCAATAGATTTACACATAACAACTGATCAAGGTCAAGTCTTGGCCAATGAAATGGAAGCTTACATTGTGGAAGGGCAATTAAACAGGTGTCTAGCTTCATTTTCTGCAAAAGATCAAGTTTACAAAATGTGCACAAAAAGTAAGACCTTCGCCAATTTCTAAAATCAATTTATATCTTGTAAGAAATAAACTGAATAAATTTTAATTTTCTTGCATGAAAAGGTACCTGTAAATGATATTACCTGAAAATAAGTTAAAAGTTGCCATCAAATTAATCCCACATGTAATTACCTCAGAAAGGGCAAGGTGTCTCTGAGCGATTGCAAGTCTGTGACTGGATTGGTTGTCAATTTCATACAAGGGGGCAAAGGTCACAATGTTTGTGTCAGCATAGAGTCCTTTCCCTTGGTGTACCCCTATACCAATGTTATACACCCTAAAAAATGTATGTATATAAAATTCAAATATAAGCGTGAAAAGAATTTGATATTTGAAAAAAAAAAAAAAAACTGTTTTATGTACATGTAAGTAAAATTCTTTTTCACATCGTATCAGCCATGGTCCAGAGTCTGCATATAGCCGTCTCCTACCAGTGGCTGCTTGGACACATAAAGTGACGTATTCTTGAATAATTACACCTCTATGCTGTTATGTTCAGCAAAATGAAAATAATTGTTTTCATCGCAATTCAAATCAACAACTGACATCAACAGTAAACAAAAATTGTTCCATAAACTGTGTTATGGTAATAAATGGTCACATCAAAATTCAAAGTTCTGATGCTTTACTTGCATTGGTCAATATTTTAATGAGCTACCAAATATTCTCTTCTCATGAAACCATGGCCAGACTGGGAGAGGATCATACATGATAGCTGAGGTTTGCAATGATTATCCAATGCAAGTAAAGCATCAGCATAACTTTCAACTATTACTTCTTTTTTAAAGTAAGGATACTGAACACTTACGGAGTCATATACATCCAACAATTTCTATGTGATACAAGATATGCATTTTTTATGTCTTAAATGATATCATAAACATCAATTTCAATTATGAATAAACTTTTACATTTCATCAATCAATTATCAGAACTTTTTAAATGCAATTCATTTCTGTATTTTTGCAGCTTTGGGACTTTTCATTACATGTATGATTAAGTGTATATATGAAGGTCTAAATATCCCTTTACAAGAAAGTCATATATGATACAAAAAACTAAATTTCAGGAGGACAGGACTGCTTTATGTCTTTTAGTACATGTATATATGAAACTGAATTAAAGAATAAAATTAAATAGAAATACATATAATAGCACACCTTTTTAAAGGTAAATATAGTGTATACACAACCAAAGTTTAAATATTAATGCATTCAAAAGGGAAAAAAAAAAAAAAAATTAAGCACTTTAGCGAAACAATACACCAATATGACAAGTCCCTTTTTAAACCCTCAGGTGCTTCATGCCAATCAAAAACAAGTAGATGAAATACAGTTGAGTAGCGGTTTGGTATCAGATACAATCACCCTGGGACTTCATCATACAGCGGCCATGCTTTTTCCTCCACCTGAGATAGAACTGGCCTTCCCTCCCAGTCTCTGTAGGACTTACTGTGTGTTAGGGATACAAATGGCCAATGACAGCTTGGCTTGACTTTGTAGTTGTACTAACCAGTCTGGGCGGTTGCCAGTCTTAGGAACTACATTCAGTCTCCTCATGCCGGTACCACTCTCCAGGGAGAACCTCTTACACCTGTGTCAAATAAAAGGACATGAGAAAGCTTGTAAGTACACGTACCATAACTGTTCCAAATTAAAATTCCATCATTCTACAACATGTCAAAATATGACACAGTAATTTTTTTTTCTCTCCACTCCTTTTCAATGCTAATATTTGCACCAAGGTTGTGCTTTTCTTGAGAAAAGGTTTAAAGAAAAATCTCTCCTACTGTTTAATTAAAAGTTTTTCCCTCTTTATTTTTTCTGAAAAATTTTGACTCGGGCCATATAGTGGACAAACTATAGCCCAATGGGCTCATGTCTTATGCAAACTTGAATCTACACATTAACAAGGGGATGCTTTTGGTTCAGGTGAGCTAAAAAGATTGTAAAAAGTAAAATATTACCACACAGGAACAGCATCTGGACCCTGGACAGACTTTCCTACTCTCATTGTGCATCTGTAAAACGAAAACAAACATACAGTAGGTAATCAGTGACACAAGGCATAATCTAATAAGGAGGCAATTTCATATCAATGAAAGTTGCATATAATGTTACTTATATGGATAATCTGAAGCAAAACTGCAGTCGCATGTTACCCTTGAGGTATCATCAATTACAATTTAGACAATGTTAGGTTTTGTAGCTTTATGGAATTGAATTCATATTAAAACTTAGATGGCCAGTCATTTAGAAAACTATGTAAGATACAGCATCCCAAGCATAAAAAGCTGTAAGAGTGAGGCATCACCCATACAAGTTCAGTTCAGGTAAAGATTACAGATACATGTACTTGGGATTAGATCTGATCTAAAAACTGGCCACACATCTAAAACATATAATTAGGTAAAAAAACAGCATCCAAAGATCCACTGGGAGTGAGCATTTTTAGTCTGTAAATGAATCATCAATTAAATTATGGTAAAGGTTAAGACTTTAAAGTGACAGTACGGCGCATCTCATCAAAAAACTGACTAGATAAAAATTTCCGACAAGATTTTGAATTTTTTTACTACTCATAAATGTATAAACTTTCAGAAAATTACAACTTTTACAATTAAATAATTTGGATTATTTCATTAAAATTAATAGTTATTTATGGGACGTAAATATATACATCGCAACGTGTTCGGGGTTCCACATTCCATGCTATGCACGCATGCGTAGTTTTTATAAACAAAACAGCATGCTTAGAGAGGGCATCCCGGTAGGCCTGCTACATTGACAAAGTCGACTAAAAATAAAAAGAAACTGAAAATAGAACTTGAAAAAGCAACTTTCCTGACTAAAATTTAGTTTGGTAATCGCTGGATAAGGAAGAAACGGGAACTCGGCGACACTCACGCAGGGCTCTCGAAGGTTCTATTCGACAGGTTTGTTGATACTTGTTATCATTTCTCATTTTTCCGTCGCTTTCAAAGAAAAAAATAGTGTAAACTCAACATAAAAAATACATCTTTGACTTATAAACATTGTTGCCATTTGAAATGCTAATTTTTTTAACTGTGCAGAAGAATATTTTGTTTGACATTTGCCGCGATAACGTATGATTAGTTGGTTTTTCCTTTCTCGGACCCCAATACACAAAACGTCAACATTTGTACTTTTAATTCTGTTAAATTCACCTGAATGCAGACTAAAATCTTTACGATTATTATTTTAGATTATTTTATCAGAAAGTTATGATAATTTGTGTTTTTGAAAATTGTTTTCACCTAATATTCATTATAACTGTAAACTCTACAGTGTAGGCACGTGCCGTTTTGGAATTCACATGGTACAAATAAACAGATCTAAGATTGCTCCAGTTCGTACGACCCTTGATTTTCCAGCAGATTCTAATTACGTTAATTTTGTTTGAGTTGAGAATATTTCTGTTTCTCAAACTGCTTACATCAACTTTATACCTTATTTCTTAATGACATATTGGGTAAATTTGGACGAAAAAGCACACATTTTGCAGCCGTACTGTCGCTTTAACTTCCTAAGGAAATGAAACTTTGACATGACATGCTTGTACTAAGGGTTTACCATCAGCTCATTTTAACTACATGTACTCAGACATTAGTAACTGAAAACCTTTTATGTAACACAACTCGGACACTAAGCCATAAAATAATCTCAATGTACTCACAGATTGGGAAGGTCCTTCTCCGCGTAACAAAAGAGTAGTGGGGTGACTGAGCGGGCCAGTTCATGCTCCTCATACTGTCCGGCAGCATCCTGCTGGGAAAAGTCCTGTCTAAACACCAGGGGGAGCCCTGACTTGTTGACCAACCAGTAAGGGGCTGTCACATGGATCTACAAAGAAAATATTTGTAACAAACATTACAATCCATGTACTTTGAATCTTCTACTCCTTATCGCTACAATGTAAATTTTAAAATATGTAATTATAGTCACTAGTATGTAAAAGGATATTTTGATGAATTTACACCGTAATATTATAATAATACTCCAGTACATGTGTACTGTACTACATGTAAATATAAAGAAATAAATGTTTTAAGCAACAGAAGAATTTTCTAGAACCTACAGAGACTGCTCCTCCTTTCCTGAAGATGATTTTGATGAGTAACTCCAGCAGACGTTTCTTGGTGTCATATAGACGAATCTTGACCTTGTGGTACTGGGGGCCGGTGGTGACAGGAGGAACCACCAACTCCTTACAGGTGGGGAAGTTCTCAAGATTTAATCCCAGCTCCATTGTCTGCTGGGGATCAGCCTGCAAACAGATTATGTGACTGTGTAAATATATTTCACAGATCAAAAGGACAGTACATCAAAACAGGTTCCTCTAAAAAGCAATGTTTTCTGTTTTTTGTTCAAATTTATTACTTAGTATCGATGGGCTTGATTGGTCTATTCTGATCAATTCCATTACAAAAGAATTTACAAAATTATAGATCATTGTACCAACATCACCATCCAATTTATTTTAACATAATAATGATAATGGTTCATGAAATTAAAGTTTCTTTTCCCATTATAAATCAATGTATTTCATACATCATTAATGTCCGTGCTGGTTTTAATAAACTTTTATTTTACTTTACTGTCACTAATAATTCACTATTAATAACTAAATTGACTATGATACAAATATATTCAAAGTTTACAATGTCCAAATAAAATGTCAGTTTTAAACCCTAAAGATTTACATATTGAACAGACAAGATCTTCTGTGTCTAGAGTAGTTTGACCCTTGACCTTTTACCTTAATTGTGACCTAAAAATCTACCTCTACTCTCAGGGAATACCAATGTACCAAGTTTGATGTCTGTCATTGAAAGGAGTCTCAAGATAGATTTATTTAGCAGACAACACTTGGTCTACAGACATACTGACATGTGCAAATATGCCCCCTCCCCCTTTAAAAAAAATTAAAAAAAAAAACACCTACTTACCCACCTTGAAATATGTGGTAAAAATTGTGGGATAGAGTACATAAAACAAGAAATTGTTTTCATAAAGGCCTCAAGCCTGATTGTACTTACAGCATGTAAGTAAGCCTTCTCTCCTGCCTTCACTGTCCCACAGATCTGCGTATCTCTGATGTAGTATCTCAGTTCAATGGGCAGCAGGTTACGAATGATCACAGGTGGACGTATGGATACAGTGTGTCCTGGTAGAATCAAACTCGAGTCCTCTGTCAGTAACTGCTCAGGATAGTTCTCCCGCTTGACCGACACACAGAATCTAAACATTGCGAGAACATCAAATCAAGTTCTACCAGAAGTAAGCTAAATTTCTAGACAAAAGATTTTCTTTTTAGATATTAAGAATACCCTGTAATGAGTTTTTTCTGTGTTTCACACTTCTTGCAAAAAAAATTAAAAATTTTTTTCACTTATCCCACTTTTGGCAAATTTTTAAAATTGTTTATCAGACAATTCTTTTTTATATTCTGTGCACAATTGGTGATCATTTATGCAAATAATTTTTTTTTACGATATATAAAACTGCTTGCAGAAAAATTTGGATATTAGATTTATATATTCATTTAATGACAAAAAATATAAATCAGTAATCCAATTAATCAGAGATACATTTTTGAAATATTACTAATTTAAAAAAATAATGGAAATTTATTTATTGGGGAAATAAATTTATATTTATACCATGATTTAATTTATCCCAAATTTAAATTAAATCATTTTTTAAAAAAATATGTTAAGTTTTCCATGAAACCTATCATGGCATAACTGTATAATGGCTACAGTCAGTATCTTATGCCAGCTGGCACTGACATGCAAAAATTCCAGAAACACTTTTTTTAAAATTTGGACATCATCATTTCCCCTTTCTTGACAACTGAAACTAACATGAAATCACACTTCAATTCATACTGAAATTGATATTATAAGTAAACATTTTACATATTAAATGATTTTGAAATTGTAATAACAATGAACCTTTATGGTCACAATATTTATCCAGACCCGTAGTTGTGTCACATAGTTATTTAATGTTTATTTGTAACTATATGGAAGTTCATCATTTTTCTTGCAACAACAAATAAAGTCTCATGCTTTCAATATTTTCATGGAAGAGGGATAGTTCTGTCGTGTCTGTTTTTCATTTAATACTTAATGTTTTAATATCCATCTTAGATGGGCTAGCTAACTTCAGAAGCCATTTTTGCAAAGATTTTTGCTAGATCGCGGAAAAAAGGAAATGTTTGCTTGTACAATAAAAAAGAGGCCCATGGGCCACAACGCTCACCTGAGAAACTTTGGCCTTGCTGTTTTTCACCTGATTTCCCCCCTTGTAGTACCTACTGTCAGGAATCAACATTAACGGTTGTCCGATTGCCCGGGACAAGTAAATTCTCAGTTCGGGCAAGTGAAACTTTAGACGTACTTGTCCGATCGGGCAAGTGAGTTTTTCTTATAGAAAGGTACATATTTATTTAGTTTACATTAATTTATGAATAAAACAATAAATTGAATATTTGATTTCCACCAGGTACCTGACTTGACATTGATTTGTGTTCGAAATTCCTTGGTAGCATTTCTAGATTATACAGTCCATTTAAAATCGGGTTCGTTATTCTGTTTTCTTTCGTTGTAAATAAGCTCTACGTCTAACAACTTTGTTAACTTCTTACTAGGAAATGAGATTATTTATTTCAGTCACAGAATGTAAGTAACATATTAATATCCTGATCTAGATAGGTACATATCGTAGCAGCTATCTTCCACTAGCATTGCTTCACTGTTATCTTTGAAAATCACGACTCACAAAAGGATCCTACCGAAAATAATTTTTAAAAATATGAAATGGAGGATTATTGCTGTATGGCAGTGTGTGTTAGCAGATTAAACTGACAAGGACAGTGGCACACATTTATGTAAAATGCTGCATCAATTTTTTTTTTCTAATGTAGCTCAACTTGCCAAGTTGACAGTGTATTTGGTCTCATTTTTTTTCTATCATAACATTTACAGTAATAAATAATATTCTTCTTCCCTCATTTTGGGCAACCAAGTTTTGCATTCGGACAAGTCAACATTTCAGATCACTTGCCTGAAGGGCAAGTGAATTTAAAAGTTAATGTCTATCCCTGATTGTGGCCCCGCCCTACCCCCAGGGGTCATTATTTGAACAATTTAGAATCTACACTACCCCAGAATGCTTCCACATAAGTTTCAGCTTTTCTGGGTCAGTGGTTCTTGAGAAGAAGACTTTTAAAGATTTTTACTAATTGAAATATTTCATTGTAAAACTTGGATTCCCTATTGTGGTCCCATCCTACCCCCGGGGGTCAAGATTTGAACAATTTAGAATCTGCACTACCCCAGGATGCTTCCACATAAGTTTCAGCCTTTCTGGCTCAGTGGTTCTTTCGAAGAAGACTTTTAAAGATTTTTACTTATTAAATAATATTTCAATGTAAAAATTGGATTCCCTATTATGGCCCCTCCCTATCCCGGGGGGTCATGTTTTGAATAATTTAGAATCTACACTACCCCAGGATGCTTCCACATAAGTTTCAGCCTTTCTGGCTCAGTGATTCTTGAGACGAAGATTTTTTTCTGCATATTTCAATGTAAAACTTGGATTCCCTATTGTGGCCCCGCCCTACCCCCGGGGGGAGGGGGGGGGGTGTCATGTTTTGAACAATTTAGAATCTCTACTACCCCAGGATGCTTCCACATAAGTTTCAGATTTTCTGGCCCAGTGTTTCTAGAGAAGATTTTTTAATGACCCCACCCAATTTTTATCTTTTCTTGATTATCTCCCCTTTGAAGGGGCCTTGGCCCTTCATTTTAACAATTTAAACTTCCCTTCAACCAAGGATGCTTTGTACCAAGTTTGATTAAAATTGGCCTAGTGGTTCTTGAGAAGAAGTTGAAAATGTGAAAAGTTTACAGACGGACGGATGGACGACGGACAATGGGTGATCAGAAAAGCTCACTTGAGCTTTCAGCTCAGGTGAGCTAAAAAATTGCTGCAGTTGGTGATTTTAGAAGATGAAAATTACAATCAATCATTTACATCTCATTTCATATATGACAACCGCCAATCATGGAAAGTTCGTGACAATTGTTATATCCCTAAATTATATCACAGAGATTTGAACTCATTTAGTTAAAAGGTTTCCAATTCTTGCACGATAAACAATCTATAGACTCTTGCTCCTGCATACAACAACAGAAATTAAGGGTTGTGGGGAAGGAGTGTTACCTATAAACTCCAGTTCCTTCTGAAGAGTCGCATTTCATTATTCTCTCCTGGACTTCCCATGCCAAACCAACATTCTGCCATTGGATTGGTTGATTGCAATACTTCACTGGCCAATCAGATGGCCTGACATAGAGCATGGAAGACACATATGGAAGTGGAAGTGGTAAGGTTCCTTTGGGTGGGATTTCCATGATATTAAATTTACCTGCATGTTAGAAGATACATATTTAGCAAAAATGTAATTCTGTTAACTGAACAAAACCAATTAACTAGTAAGTTCTAAATCTTTGGCCATTTTAAAACCAGTGGTCCAATAAAGTGGGTATTTTTGGCATACTTATATATTATTACTTCACAAAGTGGTGGTGGTGTAACGGGTGTGTGTGTGTGTGGGTAGGGGGGAGGGGGGTCATCCTTCAATTTTTTTAATTTTCTTACAATACTCAGAAAATGCTGACATTTGGCTTAATTTTTACATGCTCTTATCCTCTTAAGCCTTAAATATACCAGATGCAGATCACAGTTTTATGATGCAATAAGTAGGGGGAAAGGAAAAAAACAATAAATGTTAATCAAAATACTTTGTCCATTCACTAAACTTCAATTAGAATTCATTAAATTGCTCAACATCAATCAATAAGTAACTGTAATAATAACAATAAGTTTCCTCCTTTAAAATTTTTTTATTTTTTGCTATTAAAAAAATAAGGCTCAAATATTCACTTCTTCGAATTCATTCATTACACTTTGCTAAAGCTAACAATCACAAATATCTATATACAGTACCTTTTTAACAAAAATTGGAAAATACTGTAAAATAAATTTGTTTACTCTAGCTTTGACATGAATAATTTTTTTTTTTCTGTAATAATGAACAATATTGATTTTCCTATTCAGTTATACTTATAAGTACATGTAGTCTAACATTTTGTTTGACATTTGATTGCATTGTTTGTGGGAGATTTAAATCTATATTTATCTCCATCCAGGAAGTAAATTACAGATCTCGTCTAAGTCTCGACTAAAATCTCATTCTGACATTCCAAAGTTTATTGAAAACAAATATAACTTTAGAGGTCATTTGTGTCAAAAGTAAGTACTGGGATGCCTGCAGACAAGAAATGTGAATTTTTTTCAAATAGGGCTTTTTGTCTATTCAAGTCATATTTCTGTGAGATTTAATACAACAGAATAAGTTAGAAACTTGATTCCATTATTAAGGCATTCCTCTTCAGATTGACATAGTCAAACAAAACATATTGTTTACGTGTAGTTCACCTTAAACTATTGAATTCGTGATTACAACAATTCTGTAATCCACAAATATTCAATAAACTTTTAAATATTAATTTTAGATGGCACTTTCCAAACCAAAAATTCCAGGCACTGCTCAACACTTTGTAGAGTGTGATACTGAGGATTGTGACAACAATTGTGAATTCTACTGCAATTCATGTCATCACCGATTGTGTAAACAATGTAGAGACCAACATCTGAAAATGCGAGGAAATAAGAATCATGAGGTAGTCCTTTACCAGCAACGCAAACGACAACTTCCTCGTGAAAAATGTGAGATCCACCACACTAAAGAAATAGATATTCTCTGCGAAGAATGCAATGTTCCTCTTTGTTCAAGATGTACAACAATGCAAGGTCATCGGGGACATCAATTTACAGATTTAGAAACTCTTTACACAGATAAGTTTGAACTTTGCCAAAAGCAAATCTCTAAAATCCATAACTATTTTATTCCAACATCACAGGATTTACAGAGAGAAGTCCAGGAAGATGCCACAGAAGTTAAACAGATTATGAACAACATACGGACATCCATGAAGGCTGAAGCCGAGTCTCTCAAAAACATGGTGGACACAGTGCTCTCAGAAAATATGGAAGAATTACACCAAATAGAGAAGTCATTACTGGAGAAATTAAAGAGCCAAGAGAAGACATTTGATGACTATATTGCCTATCTCAGTGACCTTGTTAAAGAGTTCCAGAGTTACCTGTCCTCTACTGAGCTCACTAACTTCACAACTAAACTTCCAGAGAACTTAAAAATACAATCCATACCAGAAACAACAAAAGCTTCCACACCAGAATTTTCTCCTGCTCAATACAACAAAAAAGATGTTGCTGAATTACTGGGGAAGATAACTGTAACAGATAAAAAGGGAGAACTAAGAAGCGTAAAGCCAATGGAAATTGCATCTATTTCTACATCAATGAAATCTACAAGTGAACAGACAAAACAAGATAAACATGTGAAATCTGACAAGAAACAAACAATGTCTCTATCTGCCTCTGTCACCAAGGTCAGGGAGTTCAATGTACCAGGTGTTGATAATGTAAGACATATATCACTAGATCAATCAGACAGACTCTGGATCAGTGACTGGAATGGTAATCTTGTCCAAACAGATCTACAGGGGAATGTGATACAGAAGATAAAAACCAGTGGTGGATCTGAAGGTTACCACACAGTGACACAGGACGGGGATCTGATCTTTACAGACAAAGACAAGAAAGTCATCAATAGGATAACACAGGATAATAATATCACTGAATTCATTAAAACTGGAGACTGGATACCACTCAGCATACACTCCTCCCACATCAACGGGGACTTACTGGTGGGGATGTGGACAGGTATAGAGGGTAAAGTCACCAGGTACAACAAGACAGGAAAAGAACTACAGAACATACAGAGGGATAACAAAGGACAGGAACTGTATGAACTACCACACTACATCACAGAAAACATCAATGGAGATATCTGTACATCAGACATTAGTAATGGAGTAGTGGTGGTGAATAAATCAGGACAACACAGGTTTTCCTACACAGGTCAGGAGTTAAGGTTCTATCCGTATGGAATCTGTACTGATGTCCTCGGTCACATCCTGGTGTGTGATGATTACAGTTACACAGTTCACCTCCTTGATCAGGACGGTCAGTTCTTGTCTCTATTACTCACACAACAACAAGGGGTAGAGTATCCCTATAGTGTGTGTGTGGATGATGAGAACAATCTCTATGTGGGACCACGATTCACCAACACACTGACAGTGTACAAGTATCTTCAGTGATTCTTACTTTGTAATAAACACATTGATTGTATATAATTATACACAGAACAGAATAAATTATGTGATATCTAGTGTAGAAATTGGTATTCCTAGTAATGTTTGCTTAAGAGAACACAATATATACTGTATTTCACAAAATGTTTGCTACACTTAATTTTGCAAGAATATTATTTGGTATTAACATGTGAGACAAAATTTTCACAAATATCTTTTGTTGTTGTACATAATCCTTTTTTAAAATTAATAAATGTGAAAATGAAATTTTTGCAAGCAGACAGTCTCACGTTATTAAGTAGTGAAAATAAAGTTCTTGCAATAAAAAATGATTTACACTATTCACTATACAGAGAGGCAACAATACGTGCTACATAATGAAAACCTGATTCTGCTCAACTTTGGACTACACTTGGAACTTAACAAGAGGCCCATGGGCCTTAACAGTCACCTGAGTATCATGAGTTTTTCAGGCTATGACCACTTTGGGTCCACCTGACCTGACTTAGACTCACATCACACACATTTTACAGTTTGATGAGAACTTTTCATTCGTTATTAGGTTTACACAGCTTGCCCTCAATAAATTCAAGAGTAAATGAAATAAAGAACCATTTATAATAAATTTCAATATATGACACAAACACCCTCATCAAACTCCCCACGCACACAATTTTTAAAGATTTTTTCCTATTTTTTCATTGATTCTCTATTGTGGCCCCACCCTCCCCAAGACCGTATATTAATTAACACTTAATCTGCATTACCTGAGAATGTTGGCAAATCATGTTCTTGCTGTTTTTGAGATTGAAGATGAATTTTAGAAATTTTTCCTACATATGCCCACATAAAAATTTATTTCATCCATTGTTGTGGCCACAACCTATCCTTGGGGTCAATGATGTGAACAAATTTGAATCTGCACTACCTGAGGATGATTCCATATTTAATAGGACTAATCATGGCTCTGCTGTTCTTGAGAAGAAAAAATTCTTCGCCAATACTATGTCGGAAAGCTTTGAGATAAGTTTCAACTTTTCTGGCTCAGTGGTTATTGAAAAGATTTTTAATTGACACCACCTTATTTTTGCCTTTTCTTGATTATCTCCCTGGAAGGAGGCACTGCCCCTCATTTGAATAAAGTTCCCCTTTACCCAAGGATACTTTGATTTGCTTGAAATTGGTCTAGTGGTTCTTGAGAAGTTGAAAATGTGAAAAGTTCTGGACAAAAGCAGATAGCAATAGGTCACCAAGTGACTCAGGTGATCTGATAAAAGTTTACATATACATATTACCTTCCAAGCCTGAGTGTGTGGCCATTTTAAGGTCAATGCTGGAGTCCAATTCATTTCGGACAATCAGGGCTGATCTGACCGTTATCAGTTTACGAGCTTTTCCTTCCTGTTTTACATCAAACACAAGTCTTGCTGGCTTCTGTCTGGATGGGTCATGTTTTGAACTGTATGTTAACTGAAGCAAGGAAAAATGGTTATCAGTTTTTTAGACCTGAGAAAAAAACAAGAGGCCCATGGGCCACATCGCTCACCTGAGTAACTTTGGCCATGCTGTTCATTACCAGACTTCCCCCCTTGTAATACCTATTGTGGCCCCGCCCTACCCCCGGGGGTCATGATTTTAACAATTTAGAATCAACACTATCCCACGATGCTTCCACATAAGTTTCAGTTTTTCTGGTCCAGTGGTTCTTGAGAAGATTTTTAAAGATTTTTCCTATATATTTTAATGTTTCCCTATTGTGGCCCCGCCCTACCCCCGGGGTCATGATTTGAACAATTTAGAATCTACACTATCCCAGGATGCTTCCACATAAGTTTCAGCTTTTTTGGCTCAGTGGTTCTTGAGAAGAAGATTTTTAAAGATTCTTCCTATATATTTCAATGTAAAACTTGGATTCCCTATTGTGGCCCCGCCCTATCCCCGGGGGTCATGATTTGAACAATTTAGAATCTACACTATCCCAGGATGCTTCCACATAAGTTTCAGCTTTTCTGGCTCAGTGGTTCTTGAGAAGAAGATTTTTAAAGATTTTTCCTATATATTTCAATGTAAAACTTGGATTCCCTATTGTGGCCCCGCCCTATCCCCGGGGGTCATGATTTGAACAATTTAGAATCTACACTACCCCAGGATGCTTCCACGTAAGTTTCGGCTTTTCTGGCTCTGTGGTTCTTGAGAAGAAGATTTTTAAAGATTTTTCCTATATATTTCAATGTAAAACTTGGATTCCCTATTGTGGCCCTGCCCTACCCCCGGGGGTCATGATTTGAACAATTTAGAATCTACACTATCCCAGGATGCTTCCACATAAGTTTCAGCTTTTCTGGCTCAGTGGTTCTTGAGAAGAAGATTTTTAAAGATTTTTCCTATATATTTCAATGCAAAACTTATATTCCCTATTGTGGCCCTGCCCTACCCCCGGGGGTCATGATTTGAACAATTTAGAATCTACACTATCCCAGGATGCTTCCACATAAGTTTCAGCTTTTCTGGCTCAGTGGTTCTTGAGAAGAAGATTTTAAAAATTTTCCTTTATATTTCAATGTAAAACTTGGATTCCCTATTGTGGCCCTGCCCTACCCCCGGGGGTCATGATTTGAACAATTTAGAATCTGCACTATCCCAGGATGCTTCCACATAAGTTTCAGCTTTTCTGGCTCAGTGGTTCTTGAGAAGAAGATTTTTAAAGATTTTTCCTATATATTTCAATGTAAAACTTGGATTCCCTATTGTGGCCCCGCCCTATCCCCGGGGGTCATGATTTGAACAATTTACAATTTACACTATCCCAGGATGCTTCCACATAAGTTTCAGCTTTTCTGGCTCAGTGGTTCTTGAGAAGAAGATTTTTAAAGATTTTTCCTATATATTTCAATGTAAAACTTGGATTCCCTATTGTGGCCCCGCCCTACCCCCGGGGGTCATGATTTTTACAATTTAGAATCTACACTACCCCAGGATGCTTCCACATAAGTTTCAGCTTTTCTGGCTCAGTGGTTCTTGAGAAGAAGATTTTTAAAGATTTTTCCTATATATTTCTATGTAAAACATTGATTCCACATTGTGGCCCCGCCCTACCCCCGGGGGTCATGATTTGAACAATTTAGAATCTACACTACCCCAGGATGCTTCCATATAAGTTTCAGCTTTACTGGCCCTGTGGTTCTTGAGAAGAAGATTTTTTAATGACCCCACCCTATTTTTGTCTTCTCTTGATTATCTCCCCTTGTGAGGGGACTTGGCCCTTCATTTTAACAATTTAAATTCCCCTTCACCCAAGGATGCTTTGTACCAAGTTTGGTCAAAATTGGCCCAGTGGTTCTTGAGAAGAAGTCAAAAATGTGAAAAGTTTACAGACGGACGGACAGACAGACAGACAGACGGACAGACGGACGGACGGACGACGGACAAAATGTGATCAGAAAAGCTCACTTGAGCCTTCGGCTCAGGTGAGCTAAAAAGATAAACAGCAGCAACTTTTTTCTAAGAACATTTCCTAAACATGAGCTCCTGGCCAATACATTTTAAGCTTCAATATTTGTCCTGGAATAAAGAAAATTTTTGAAGTTGTTTCCCTGGCCATGTGACCCATTTGGCCCTAACCTAGCTCAGGGAGGGGGGAGGGGGCATTTTAAACACAATATGGAGATGCACATATCGATAAGACTATCCACTGCCCTTGCATTCTTGAAAAGAGAATTTTAAAACAAGAGGCTAGGCTTCTGATAAATTGCAGAATATGCAAGAAAAGCTAATTATGTATTAAAGGGCCTATTTTCATGTCTACACATCGCAAGGCTCAACAAGAGGCCCATGGGCCACATCGCTCACCTGAACACATTGGCTATGAAAAAGAACAAATCAGTTCAGTATTGAAAAGTTTGAAGGGGGGCTTGAATTTTAAACTACCTGAGGATGCTTCCATATCAATATAACAAATGGCTTTGCTGTTCTTGAGCAAATTTTTCTATATATTCCTATGTAAAACTTTTGATCCCCCATTATGACCCCACCCTATCCCCATGATTTGAGGTCATGTTTTGATGATTTTGATTTTGGTGTCATGATTTGAACAAACTTGAATCTACACCACCTGAGGTTACTTCCATATAAATATGACCAATCATAGCTTTGCTGTTCTTGAGAACAAGATTATTAAAGATTTTTCCTAATAGTATATACATGTATTCCTATATAAAACTTTTATTGTCCTAGTGGCCCCACCCTACCCCTGGAGGTCATGATTTGAACAAACTTGAATCTACACTACCTGAGAATGCTTCCATATAAATATGACCAATCATGGCCTTTTGTTCTTGAGAAGATTTTTGAAAGATTTTTCCTATATATTCCTATGTAAAACTTTGATCGTCCATTGTGGCCCCACCCTACCCCAGAGGGTCATGATATGGACAAATCTGAATCTACACTTCATGACAATGATTCTACGTCAGTTTCATCTTTCCTGGCCCATTGGTTCTTGAGAAGAAAATTTTTAAAAGAATGATGCCATTATTTTTTCACTATTTTGTAATTATCTCCCCTTGAAAGAGGGCGTGGCCCTTCATTTTAACAAACTTAAATCCCCTTTACCCAAGGATACTCTGTGCCAAGTTTGGTTGAAATTGGCCCAGTGGTTCTGGAGAAGAAGATAAAATTGTGAAAAGTTAACAACAATGACGACAGACAATGGACAGAAAAGCTCACTTGAGCCTTCGGCTGAGGTGAGCAAAAAAACTATCGTTTCTCTAAAAGTCTTGTAAATATGAAGTATGTAGAGAGTACTTACCCCAGCTAATCCTTTGGCTTGTGAGACATCAGGTTCAGCATGTCTGAAGTACACCCCCACACGATCCACCGTCACATTGGACAGCTTCATCCACCCATCCACCTTCACAACCAGCTGATTGATGCTCAACTCGTGGGTTTTCTGTACAGTTAAGTCAGAAAATATGCCTTATTTTAAGAGAAGGTTCTGTCATCATCAAGTCTATACAGATATACACTCATAAGAAAGTGAAGACAATAACCATCACAACAGACATTCACCTCGTGACGATTTTTCTCTTTGTTGTGGAAGAAGAATGGTATTTTTTCTCCTGACTCCACTTTTTTCCACTCTGAAGCCTTTATATAGTGGTCATCCTTATAACCTTTTCTTCTCCCTGACCTGAAAATTATCCAAATATGACAAACATCATCATAAAAAAAGGCAACATAAAACTTGTTTTTAGAACATTGCCATTCATTATGTACAAATTCTGTATTTGTAACTCAACCCTACCTCTCCTCAAGAACAAATCAAGCATTTAACATTATAAATGGATTTGGTTTTATTTGCTTTTTACAAGATCTAGATTGTTTCCAAGGCTTCAGGAATATTTTAATTTTATTTGTTCCCATCTCCATTAACCCACCCCCAAATTACAAGAATATGCTTGAGACATAATAATTTTGATTGGTCAGTTTTGTGTACCTTGGTGTGGTGGTCACCGTAGTGAACCAGAGAGTACATCCTGTTTCATTTGACAACATAAAGGGAACAAATGGAACTCTCCTCCTCTGACAGCTCACAGCAGTACGGCTAGCCTGGTGGGGCTGGTTTTGGGAATTTGCTGGGCTGAAAGGAGCAATGCATCAGGCCATCAAGAAAAATCCATAACAGAAAAGTTGCTAAAGATTATAGCTTCATAATATACTCCCTGAGTGGTCTACAGATAACAGAAGAGTCCAAAAAAAATCTCACAAACTTTTTTTTCTGAATTCTGATATGAGATAGCCTGAGGGTTTTTACAAGAAAAAGCATATAAAAACACTTGGCTAGTAAAAATTTATGTGTCCTTTTGTTAAACTTACACAATTTGTTTATAGTAGTCCTCCGACCAAGTATTCTTTGTCTGGTTGTACAGCTCCAGGACTGTACTGGTTATGTTGAGATTCAACACCTCTTGTGCTGAAAAAAAATAAATCAAAAGACTTTTAAACATTCAACAGTCTTGTTATTGTTTCCCTGCACCTACAGTACCTTAAAATATTTCTAATAAATTGATGGTTCAAAATAGATTATCAAGCACAAATTAATTAATGCCAGAACTGTATCATTCAAAGTCCAAAATTTTCTTAATATTGAATAATTTACGATGAATGATATTTGAAAAAGTCAAATCAAAAGTGTCATTCTCCTAGATATCCAAATGAATGCCAATATATTTAACTTGAATGGTCTCTAGTGACACTTTGTTGTACCTTATGGTCAGGGCAGGAGCTTTTTGACTTATGTTCATGTGCACTGATTGCATATGAAAATACATGTATGTATCATCTATATTTAAAAGGAATAAATGACACTACTGACTTACAATACATTTCTAGCAGAAATGAAACTATAAGAACGTTACCATTGATTTGAATGGCAGTTTTCTTCTCCATATTTTGATAGTACTGTTTCCACTCACAACGACATCTGTAATTATTAGAGAAAGAAAATAATTAGCTGATTATAAGAAGTACAAGACCTGCAGTAAACCCAGAACAGAGTCGTACAGTTATATTTTCATTATTATTAACAGAACTGATGAAGTTCAAATAAAAAATATAGAGCTGATGCATACATATGAACAGATCCCTGTATACTGCACATATATAATACATGCAAATTGTAATACACAAACAACTAAAATGATATAAAAGGTTGTACATGAAAATATAACACTGGTTTTGGAGTTTTAAATATAGAATTTTTTTTATGTACAGTGTCTGGACGTTTTCTGTTAACTGAAGGAAGAGTACTTTTTAGAATGATTTCCATATCTTATATCATTTTTCATGGCATTGAATAAAATCACCATAAGAATTCAGAAGTTAACAGTTAAATTAAAATCATTAGAAAAACATGCAGTTTGATGACAAACACTTTATCTTCACATGATATTTTCTAGTCTATTGCCAGTAGACAGATAAAAAAAATATCCAACAAGGACATTTATATAAATTTCCGGAAAATTACCCGGTATAACCAAGTGACAGCTCACTTACTTCCATTGTTCCAAAAACGGCTCCCATCCAGAGAGTTTCCTGTTGTAATAGTCACCCATCAAAATAAAAGATCCACTCCCCTCTTGTCTCGGAAGAAATTGCTGGGAGAACTGAATGCTGTTGAAGGAAATTTCTGCCAGTGGAACATCGGAGTCCCCACAATCATCTATCAGGCAAACACACACTGAAGATGACTTTATCTGAAATCGGAGGAAAAATAATAAGATAACAATGACCAAGTGGCCATGGAATAACAAAATGTGAAACTCTACTATAAGGATGCTTGCTCATAAGTTTGAGATTATAAAAAATTGCACTTGTTGAGAATTGTACGAATTTGAATCTGAATCTTTACTACATACAAGAGGCCCAAGGGCCTTAACGGTCACCTGAGTATAAAACAACAATCCATAGAAGATCCATAGAGTATAAAATAAACTGATAGAAGGAGCTTTTGTAAATTTTTGATCGTCCATTGTGGCCCCACCCTATCCCCAGAGTCCAGAGTCATGATTTGAACTTGAATCTATACTACCTGAGGATGTATCCATGTAAATATATCCAATCATGGCTTTGCTGTTCTTGAGAAAAGAATTTTTTCAAGATTTTTCCTACATATTCCAATATAAAACTTTCATTGTCCATTGTGGCCCACCCTACCCCTGGGGATCATGGTTTTAACAAATTTGAATCTACACTATGGAAGATGTTTCCACATTTCATCTTTCTTGGCCCAGTGGTTCTGGAGAAGATTTTTCCAATGTATTCCCATGTAAAACTTTGATCATCCATTGTGGACCTGCCCTATACCTGGGGGTCATGATTTTTCTTGGCCCAGTGGTTCTGGAGAAGAAAATATGTAAAGATTTTTCCTATGTATTTCTGTGTAAAACTTCAATTATATCAAAATGACTAATCATGGCTTTGCAGTTCATGAGAAGAAATTTTCCTATAAATTCCTATGTAAGACTTTGATCCTCCATTGTGGCCCTGTCCTACCCCGGGGGTCAGGATTTGAACAAACTTGAATCTACACTACCTGCGGATGCTTCCATATACATTTGACCAATCATGGCTTTGCTGTTCCTGAGAAGAAGATTTTTAAAAGATTTTTCCTATGTATTTCTATGTAAAACTTTGATCGGCCATTGTGGCCCCACCCTACCCCCGGGGGTCATGATTTGAACAAACTTGAATCTACACTACCTGAGGATGCTTCCATATAAATATGACTCATCACGAATTTGCTGTTCTTGAGAAGAAGATTTTTAAAGATTTTTCCTATATATTTCTATATAAACTTTGATCATCCACTGTGGTCCCACCCTACCCCCGGGGGTCAGGATTTCAACAAATTTGAATCTACACCACCTGAGGATGCTTCCATATAAATATGACCAATCAGGGCTTGGCTGTTCCTGAGAAGAAGATTTTTCCTATATATTTCTATGTAAAACTTTGATCCTCCATTGTGGCCCCGCCCTACCCCCGGGGGTCATGATTTGAACAAACTTGAATCTACACTACCTGACAATGCTTCCACATAAATATGATCAATCAGGGCTTAGTTGTTCCTGAGAAGTAGATTTTTAAAGATTTTTCCTATATATTTCTATGTAAAACTGATCGTCCATTGTGGCCCCACCCTACCCCTGGGGGTCATGATTTTAACAAATTTGAGTCTACACTACCTGATGATGTTTCCATATAAGTTTCATCTTACCTGGTCCAGTGGTTCTTGAGAAGAAGATTTTTAAAAGATAGCATTAATTTTTCACTAATTCTTAATTATCTCCTCTTGGAAGAAGGCATGGCCCTTCATTTGAAAAAACTTGAATCATAGTTTGTGGCAAGTTTGATTGAAATTGGCCCAGTGGTTCTTGAGAAGAGGTCGAAAATGTGAAAAGTTTACGCACGACACACACCCGCACGCCAACGGACCAAAACAGATAGCAATAGGTCACCTGAGTGACTCAGGTGACCTAATAACAAGAGGCCAAAGGGCCACATCGCTCACCTGAGCACTGTGGCAAGGAAAAATCAGTTTAGTATTGAAAAGCTTAAATGCATAAGTGGTCCCAACCTACCCCTAAAAAGGGAGTGGGGGGTCATGATTTGAACAAACTTGAATCTACACTATCTGAGGATGCTTCCGTATAAATATGACAAACCGTGGCTTTGCTGTTCTTGAGATTTTTAAAGATTTTTCCTATATATTCCTATGTAAAACTTTGATCGTGCATTGTGGCCCCACCCTATCCCCGGGGGTCATGATTTATACAAACTTGAATCTACACCACCTGAGGATGCTTCCACATAAATATGACCAATCATAGCTTTGCTGTTCTTGAGAAGAAGATTTTTGAAGATTTTTCCTATGTACACCTCTGTTAAACATTGATCATCCATTTTGGCCCCACCCTACCCCTGGGGGTCATGATTTGAACAAACTTGAATCTACACCACCTGAGGATGCTTCCATATAAATATGACCAATCATAGCTTTGCTGTTCTTGAGAAGAAGATTTTTGAAGATTTTTCCTATATATTCCTATGTAAAACTTTGATCGTCCATTGTGGCCCCACCCTATCCCCCGGGGTCATGATTTGAACAAACTTGAATCTACACTACCTGACAATAATTCCACATGAGTTTCATCTTTCCTGGCCCACTGGTTCTTGAGAAGAAGATTTTTCAATAATGCCATTAATTTTTTGCTATTTTGTAATTATCTCCCCTTGGAGGAGGGCGTGGCCCTTCATTTGAATAAACTTGAAACCCCTTCACCCAAGGATACTTTGTGCCAAGTTTGATTGAAATTGGCCCAGTAGTTCTGGAGAAGAAGATGAAAATGTGAAAAGTTTACGACAACAACGACGCAGACGACGCCGACAACGACGACAGACAACGGACAAATTTTGATCAGAAAAGCTCACTTGAGCCTTCGGCTCAGGTGAGCTAAAAAGCTTTCCACATACATGTATGTTTTGTCATTTCTGAATAATAAGGTTTTCAAATAACCCCATCAAATTTTTTGCCATTTTGAAATAATCTCTTTTTGGAATACCTAAGGCATTTTATTTTAAGATCTGTAAACGTAACTAAAGCTAAATCATCAAAAGATGACTTGTGGGAAGTTTGGTTGAAATAGACCCATTACTTCCAGATATTAATACTTCCGACAGAAAATATGAGCAGTTTTACTCTCAATGCACAACAAATGAAAACAGCAATACCTAGTCCAATTTTTTTCACAGCATTTGGATTACAGTGTGTGCTTGGCTTTTCACAAGAAACAAGCCAGAGAAGTAACCTTAGCATTTCTGTGAAAAGATCCATGATCCACCCCTGACACTAACCTCCATCCCTGTGATATGAAGTCCCCCCTCTTCTGACCGGCTCCTTTCCTCTGGTACAGCATTCTCAGTCAGCCAAACTGCTGCCTCCATTAAGTTCATCTTGTTCAGGTCAAGAGCTTTCTTACAATCCTCCATACTGAACCCCATATCATAGAGACTGCTCATTTTGTCAGCTGATGATGTAAAATTAAATTCTTAATTAAACTACAGGTGACTCTCAATCTCTCGAAGTTCAAGGGACCGTAAGAAAAGTTCAAGAGATCGGGGGGTTCGAGAGATAGAAAGTGAATAAATTCCAGAATTTTCAGTTCCGATCATCATTGTTCTACTATTATACATACCGGAAGTATATGTTGATAATGTCATTACACGTTTTCATTCGTATTTTACAGGTAATTCACTTGATTTCAACAGCAATGATCGTGTTTTGAATAAATGAAATGATTAACTTAAGTTTCAATATTTATTTGTTCCCATTTCATGATTACATGAAACCTGAATAGCAATTGTCGATTTTGCTAATCCCCGTGCGCAGGCTTGATCGGTCCTTCACAAGATTGCTTGTAATCAGTATACAATTCTTGAGATAGGATTTCTTGTGCAATGTTTGCCAAACTGGGATTGTGTAAACTCTAATAATATTAAAGTTCATAATCTATGTTATAGTTAAAGTACATTTTATTGAGTGTATCATGGATAATCAAGGGGGCGGTGACGAGTTTGCGAAGCAAACGAGTCTCCGCCTCCTTGATTATCCATGATTCACGAGATAAAATGTAATTTAACTGACTTGTATCAACGAACCAATCAGAAAGCTCGGAACATTAGGGCAAAAATTTTCCATAAAACAGCGTGGGAATGTATCATTTTTTTCCATAACTTGGAAAATATCGGGGGTTTTCGTAATACAGCCGCGAAAGTATCGACAGCATTCGATAGATTCCATTATATTTTCCCGCTCTGCAACCGGCATATTATTGGTTCTGTAGACTATCCGAACATTCCGTAGTAATTTCCCGCTAATTCATCGTTATATTCTGGGAATATTTTTGCGCACTTAGTCATTTACTTCAATGAAGTTGAGGAGGATGGATGTATTAGACGATTTGTCGACCATTAACCTGGTCGATTTAGGTGATTTAGACTTTTTTAACATATGCATAGTTACCGAAGAAGATATTGAACTCTCGCAGGTATGTGATGAAATTGAAGAAGAAAATGCCATATCCGAGGGTCTGTGTGAAAAGCTGAATTTAAATCGTGTCGAAAATATGGACAGTGAAATTGGTATCGAGTTTGGTTCTTTCAACCTAGATACAGTGGACCCAGTAGCTGATATTTCCGATCCAAAGCCTCGACCTGTGAAATCGGAACCCAGTGATAATGGTGAACGGTTTGGAAAACTGGTGACGGATGATGAAATTTCAAAATTGATTTGCATCGAACCAGAATGCTAACACCAAGAAAAATACCACGTGGGCTCTTAAGGTCTTCGAGGAATGGAGGGAGAAATGTAATGGTAATTCCGTTGATGAAATACCACTCTTACATTTAATGACGGCAGAGCAGTTGAATTTCTACTTGGGGCGCTTTATTGTGGAAACTCGGAGAAAAGATGGCATTGAATACCCTCCCCGATCTCTCTACCTCATATCGTGTGGGATATTGCGCCACCTCAGAAATAAAAACATCTTCGACAAAAACATTTTGGACAGTAATGACCCAAGGTTTAGTGATTCCGGAAAATTCTTGACAGCAAAATGAAAGACCTTCTGAAGCACGGGTTTGGGATGGCGATTAAGCAAGCTGAGCCGATTATGCCATAGGATGAGGAAAACATGTGGGAGAAAGGTGTATTTGGGGGTGACAGTTCCGAAAGTCTTCAACATACCATGTTCTACTATAACTGTAAACTCTTCGGTTTAAGGGGGCATGACGAGCATCATGAACTTGAGTGTAGTCAGTTTGTTCTTGGGGAGGACAGCTCTGGAAAATACGTGGAATTCATTGGACGTGCCAGTAAGACTTGCAAGGGTGGGTTGGCCCAAATGCAGCTGACAAACAAACAGATTCGACATTACAGTTCACCTGGTAAGATACGATTTAATTACTTGAGTATATAATCGAACTTTGATTTCATAATTATATATACATGATTAATGATAAGTAACGACTCGGCTCAATTCATGAATAACATAACCCATATGCACCCTGTTTATTAATAATAATTATAGGTGAACGTTGCATCGTAGACTTTTACAAGACTTATTTGGCTGGCCTAGGTAACGAGGGACCATTTTATCGACGCCCATTGCAGGGACATCCGCCAAAATACGGAAACCAGGTTGTAGGTGTAAACAAGCTGAAGACCATGATGAGGACGATCTGTACAAAAGCTGGACTGTCTGGACAATACAGCAACCATTCTGGAAAATACACATGTGCCACTCAGTTGTATATGGCAGGGGTGGACGAGCAAGAAATAATGAGGAGGACTGGCCATCGATCTGAGAAGGCAGTACGTAAATATAAAAAACCTTGCGACGAGATTTCCAGAAGGGTGTCGGAAGTACTCGACCGCAGAGTGCGGCAGTCGGGTGAGAAAAGAAAGCACCTAGAGGAGACTGAAGACATGGAAACTGAAAATGAAGGTCATCAGAAGAAAATACCCCATTTGTTTGCTTCCGAAAGTTTGTCCGACATAACAAATGGACAGCATTTTCATAATTGTAACATTTCTTTCAATTTTTAAGAAGGAAGACTTGCTAAAATAAAATACGTGAAATGTAAAAACATTTACGGGCAATAAAAGTTCAGTTTATTGTTACAAGAAGTAATAAAAATGTTTTTAAAATTATTTTCATTTATTCAAAAGGAGGTGGGGCTTCCTGTGATGTGGTAAGAAGTTATTGTACAGTTTTGTACTTTTTCTGTACAATAACTTCCTGATATTGGAAGTTATTGTACATTTAGATGCTCCACCCCCTTGGTGTATCAAGAATTAATGAACTACTACCAGTAAAGGAAGAAAATACAGGTTCGTGATACAAGGAAAATTACTGACACGTCCCTAAATTATTTTCTCAAAATTATCGTCTCGTCCAGTCAAAATTAGTTGTGAAGCGATTTGTTTATAATTTACCAATTAACCAATTAATTTTATCAACACTCGGACGACTTACAACACCCATAACACGTCCATCCCATCCCCAGGTGTTCACTGTTATCCAGATAAGTCCAAGCTGAATTAATTTTACGCTTGATCGACTTGTACACATGCGCAATCAGAACTTCGAGAGATAGAGAGTAAAAAACAATGAAATATGTGTAACGGGACCCAGGTCTTGGTTCGAGAGATAGAGAACTTCGAGAGATCGGAAGTTTGAGAGATCAGGAATAAATTTGTTTCGTTATATAGAGGAAAAAAAAACGTGACCAGAGGTTCACTTCGAGAGATCGGAGTTCGAGCCATTGAGAGTCACCTGTATAATTTGAGAACAATGAAGACTTTCCAATTAACGAAAACCAATGTTTCCATTGATAAGTAAAACCAAAAAAATTACAAAATAAACTGTAACCATGTCAGAAATTTTAAAGAAAAATTGACTGCAGTTACGTTGTCTACCTTCTTCACTTCATTTTTGAGTAACAAAATTTCACATAGCAAAGATAGACAACTCTTTGTTCTTAAAACAACAATGATGCAATGTGAACAAAGAAAGGATTATCTCCCTAAGTCACAGTGCACTACATGTACTAATGTTGCTCAGACAATGTCAAAATGTTAAAACCATTAACATAGTTCTTTTTTAAATTATGGAAAAATGCCATACCTGGATAAGCTTTATCTGTAGGTTTGTCATGTTGTGTTGCTTTCAATGCTTGCTCTGGGATAGAATTCAATATAGCCAGGAACATTTTCATGTCAATGTAGGACAGTCGAATGTTCATAACATTAAATGTAATCTGAAAATACAGGAATACATTAATTAATCCATGTAATTTAAATCACAGTACACTAACCTGTCTAAATATTGTTCAGGTTATTTTCACCCTAAATCATCTTTTCAATACTTTGCATAAAATGATAGTGCAACTTGGCAAAAAAAAGAGGCATTAACAAAATTGTAATATTTCTAATTAGCCTACATTACATTGTGGATACATTGTACAGAGAGATCTGTTGGGTACCTCAAGTACAAGGTTATTTTGATGGACCTGAGAAGCCTCCAATAATCCAGCGGGTGATGACAGCTTATGTTTGGGAAGTGGATTAGCGTTGAGATCAATGTGGATGGTAAGTGGATCTATGATGGATTGAGCCGTCTCCTCTTCTGCTGTCAAAGAGCAGGAAAATACCTCCAAAGACTGAAGAGTGCAGGTCAGAATTTTGTCCTTGGCTTTGGGACGGAAATTTAGTATTGCTGTGCTCTATAATAATTTGTAAATAAACAAAGTAAAAAATGTCATATGTATTTACAGAGTACATTCTTTGCCTTGAATAAGAAGATATAAAATATTTATTAATTTTAAACTTTATAGTTACAAAGTACTTTTGTTAGTCTTTAAAAAAAGTTTTATGTCTCATCAATCTAGACTACAAATCTAGACACTTTACAGAATGAACACATCCATTCTTTTTTATCTACAGTGATAATAGAGTTACCTTTAGAATGACAGCATTAGTATCCCATGTAGTGCTGTCTTCAACTACAATGAACTGGGTGTCTGATACATTCAGCTTCAACTCAAATGGTACCTCCACCTACAACAGAAATAGGGGATTCAGTATGTAAATAGGTGAGATATATTTTAACCTTTCATACAATTACAGTGGAAATCTTAACATGACTTTCACGAAATTCTAATTATATACAATAATCTTCATAAAAGCATTATTTTACTTTCAAAAATCAAATTTTTTTCCTGCATCACCATTCTGTATGTAGTGCTATTTTACACATCTTCATAGAAATAAATGACATCTTTACCTCCTCTACAATAGGCCCTCTCTTTGTCATTATACCACTAGACTTACCTCCTCTACTATAGGCCCTCTCTTTGTCATTATACCACTAGACTTACCTCCTCTACAATAGGCCCTCTCTCTGTCATTATACCACTAGACTTACCTCCTCTACAATAGGCCCTCTCTCTGTCATTATACCACTAGACTTACCTCCTCTACAATAGGCCCTCTCTTTGTCATTATACCACTAGACTTACCTCCTCTACTATAGGCCCT